GATTACAAAGCTGAAATGAAAAGTTTGGTGGCTGCAGCCCACCGCAGCAGAGTTCATTCCCTGAAGGCGAGAGGAGAACATAGAGGGAGGAGAAAGGCAGTGCTGGATTTAGTGACTTTTCCATTGGTAAAAGGCACGAGTTTGAAGAGTGAAAGCAGCAGGGAAAGGCAGGAGGAGCTCAGATGCAAGCAGAGGGGCAGCAGCGACTCGCCAAACAGCTGAATCGGGAGCAAGGAATGGTTTGGAGATGCTGCATTTGCTGTCAGGGCTCGTCCCCAGCAGAAGAGCAAGGGAGAAACCTTGCCAGGGAGGGGAAAAACCTGCCTGCAGCAGAGCAGCGAGCCCAGCGGCCCAGTCCCCAGGGCTGGATGCAAAGAGTAAATGCAGCAGCAGCTCCCATCCCTTACAGCGTGGGCGCCGTGGCGGAAGAGAAAACTCGGCTCTATTCAATAGCCTTTTATACAAGAGTCTCTAAAATATGACCTAAGCCCCTAATTGCAATCAGTAGACAAGTTAATTGGCAAGATCTCCTCTGGCTGCCGTGAAGCGCAGCCCATGAGTGTGATTGTCTCCAAGAACCGTTTTTCTTCCCTGGATTGAGAGTTTGTTCGTGGCCGTCGCGAGCCGGCTCCTGCCCAGGCTCGCCGCACTCGCAGCTTCGACAGACACCCAAGTAACTGATTAGCGCTGGGCAGCTTATGAAAACACGGTAGCGGTCCTTGAGAACGGCTTCAGCGCTGCCTGCTCACATCCCAATGCTGCGCTCGTTCCCGTGCTGCGCGTCGTGCTCAGCGATCAGGGGTTGATTATGCTAAAAATACAAGAAAACGGGCTCAGTCGATGCGACCCAGGCAAGGCCATAGGGCCTAGGAGGAACGACAGCGCTTACCCTGTGCTTGAGGTAGGAGAGGTATGTGTCCCAGCCCAGCGTAATCACGTTCACGTAAACCACCCGGTACTTGGGTGGGAGGAAGAGGAAGTTCACGAGCTGAGCCGCCGGCCACACGCACCAGTCAGCCTACAAGAAGCAAACAGCCATTATCTGCCTGCGTCACGAGGAGGGGGTGGAGGAAGAGCTAAAGGGATGCACCTACCTTGTAAAACTCCCAGAATTTCTCCTTGAGCTCCCCCCAGCTCTCCTCCAGGGCCTGGCCCTCCAGGGCACCCATGCCTGCAGCAGAGAGATGGGGTGAGCAGCACCAGGGCTGGGGCCGTCGGCTGTCCCTCGAGTCCGCCCCGGACCCGAGTTACTGTCTCCAAGGCCAGCAGCTCAGCTGCATCTTCCTCTCGCCAAAAAGCCCTCGACGGTTCAGGAGGGAACAGCACTTTATCTCGTGCTTCACCAGCCGGGAAGGAGCCTAGGGACACCCATTCCCGGCCTCCAAAGGGAGCCGCGGAGCGAGGGTGCTGCACGTCACGCCGGCAGCCGGCCCGCTCCTCCACGTCTGGCCACCAACACGTCACCCGGTCCCTGGGTGGAGGCAGTGTGGGCCCGCTCTCGTTTTAGCAACATTTACATAATGTTGCTAAACCCGCATAAGGCGGGTAGCGACGCTTTTACCTAAGAAATACCAGACTCCCAGGGCTGGCGATGCCACCAGCTGGTCAATGAGGACTTTCTTCAGGACCGTTTTCATGCCCTTAAAGCCGCTTGCAGGAAAGGCTCCATCTAACCAGAGGTACCAGTAGTGCATCAAGGGGCCCATGCTGCAGCCGATGGCAAACATGCGCGCTGCAACACAACACC